GTTTCTAACCCTATGGTGCTCCCTCTCTTCCCATCTCTCAAAAAAAATAAATAAATAAATGAAAAATTTTAAATCAGTTCCTGTAAAAAAAAAAAAAATCTTTTGCTATGAACAGTTGAATGCCACTGTTTTGAAACTTGGCATATATGGTGAATTTTCTTTGAAAGATGGAACATAACATTAATTATTAAAACCTAGTGTCTTAGCACATTCATCTAGTGCAGTCATATATTGGGAAAGATCATGATTAAACATGTAAGGGTTCACAATCTGACTTTGGCATTTAACCGAATACTCTTGAGTTCAGTTCCCTCATCTGTAAAATGGAGGTCATTATATACTTTGTAGAATTGTAAACATTGAGAATAGTGTTTTAATGCATTATACCTGGGGTAGTATGAGTAGATCATCTACTGCAGTGCTGGCGTCATAGTAGTTACTCAGTTAAATTGTTATTGTTGTTATGCTCCATAGGTAGCCACTCGGCATATAATCATCAACCCAAATAGCTCAGTCCATGGAGAACAAATAGCATCCCTGCCTAATTCTTTGTTGATAATTTTTTTTTCCCCTCCATTTTCCTCTTCTCCCCTTTAGTTAATTTATGAAGACTGTATGGATCTGATCGCAAAGCTACCTTGTGTTGCCGCAAAGATCTACCGGAACCTGTACCGCGAGGGCAGCAGTATTGGGGCCATTGACTCTAAGCTGGACTGGTCCCACAATTTCACCAACATGTTAGGCTATACTGATGCTCAGTTTACTGAGCTCATGCGTTTGTACCTCACCATCCACAGGTGAGCTAGATCCTGCAACCATACACTGATTGGTGGGAAGTTTTAAGAAGAGCTCCTTAACAGTCTTGCCTTCTGGGAACAGGTGGTAGGCGGCAAGGTGATGGAAAATGGCATAAGGGCTGATACAAGGCAAGAAAGGGATCTACTAAAGAAGTTCAAGAAGTATAGAGAAATTATAACCGCACCAAGAACAAGATAGTGCTTTTAGCTGCTCACATTAGGTTTTCCTTTGGCTTTCCAGCAGCTCCCTCTTCTGGTCATTGCTTATTAACAGTGGAGTGGGAGTCAGGGAGTTTGGCACATAGGCATCAAAAACCAATAACCTCTCCAGCTCTGGATTAGTGAGCAAAGGCTGGTAATGAGATTGGGACATCTCTTGCAAGAGCTTATGAATAACTGACTGGCTGTTGGCTGATGTGAGCCCATAACTAGGCTAGTATGTGACAAATAAGAGAACAACATAGTCTGCGTTTCCATGATCTGCCCCTTTTTTTCCCTTCTATTGTATTTTTTCCATTACCATTTATCCCCCCATACCCTATTTCACCTCCACCTCCCCCCCCGCCCCACTATCTCTTCTTTCTCTTGGCCTTGATTCTCCTTCCTTGTTTCCTCACAGTGACCACGAAGGTGGCAATGTAAGTGCCCATACCAGCCACCTGGTGGGCAGTGCCCTTTCAGACCCCTACTTGTCCTTTGCGGCAGCCATGAATGGGCTGGCAGGGCCCCTACATGGACTGGCAAATCAGGTAAGACTATTCTTTTTCTTATCTTGCTCCATGTTTTTCTTAACTCCCATGCTTTTGTTTCTGATCTTGGTGTTCTCCTTGGTATATGTATTGACACTTTTACTCCCAAATCTTACCCATAGGAAGTGCTTGTTTGGCTGACACATTTACAGAAGGAAGTTGGCAAAGATGTGTCAGATGAGAAGTTACGAGACTACATCTGGAACACACTCAACTCAGGACGGGTAAGCAGAGATGCTTAGCAACTAGGAAAGAAGCCAAGACCCAAGTTCTGCAATTTGGAAGAAATAAGGAGAAAAGAATGAGAATTGGTCCCAAAATTTGAGGAGCCTCTCCCCCTCCCCCGCCCACTTGTCTACCCTGAAGAATTTAGAAACGGCAAGAATTTTCTACCTGAGACTACAACTGACCGCCCCCCTCACTCTTTACAGGTTGTCCCAGGCTATGGTCATGCAGTACTAAGGAAGACTGATCCCCGATATACGTGTCAGCGAGAGTTTGCTCTGAAACACCTGCCTCATGACCCCATGTTTAAGCTGGTTGCTCAGCTGTATAAGATTGTGCCCAACGTCCTCTTAGAGCAGGGAAAGGCCAAGAATCCTTGGCCCAATGTAGATGCTCACAGTGGGGTACTGCTCCAGGTGAGTCCTCCATTCCCTGCTTTCACTTTAGTTTGCACAAAACACTATTCTCTGCCATGCCCAAAATCGACTCCCTAATCAGAGTAGGGGCTCTTCTCTTTATTTACCTTTTTAAATTAAGTTGCCCGTGGTTGGGGAGGTGTGGGCAGGAGGAAAGGGGTGCTCTCTTTTCAGAATCCCAATTGTTATATTTTCCGAAGTATCATTTCTATGTAAGGATGACTGGATTAAGATTTCTGTAACCCTGGAATTATATATGTCATTACCTGCAGACTGTTAACAAAACATTTTTCTCTTTTACCTTACAGTACTATGGCATGACGGAGATGAATTACTACACAGTCCTGTTTGGGGTGTCACGAGCATTGGGTGTACTGGCACAGCTCATCTGGAGCCGAGCCCTAGGCTTCCCTCTAGAGAGGCCCAAGTCTATGAGCACCGATGGTTTGATGAAGTTTGTGGACTCTACGTCAGGGTAAAATGGGAGTCTAGGGGGAAACTACCTACCAGAAGTGAGGGAGCTCCAACAAAAAGTACACTTTGGTTTCAGGGGAGCATTTAAAGACTTAAGATTAAATTGTATCTGAGGCACTGATAGTAAGTTTGAGGTTAAAATATAAATTAAGACTTTAAAAGATGAAAAGTGACCCTTTTCCTCCTAACCCCAACCCCTTTCCCCTGCCTGGTATGAGTCGCCCATCAACTGTAGGATGACCAGGACTAATGCATGTGGTGTGGGTTAGATCTGGCTCCTCTTTCCCTGGGTCAAAGCTGATTGCAGAGAATCTGCAGTCACTTCAGAGCTTTCAGTTCTATATTTCCCAGCCCTCAATAGGTCAGCAAACCAGGACTCTGCCCCGTCTGTTTCCATAGGAATCATGTTGGATTGTCAGCTATACCAAGCCCTGCTGCCCTCTCCCATGTACACAGACACTTCTTAGCAAGACCTATTGGTTAGCTGGACATGCTTTAGGCATTTTTTTAATGCTACCAGGTAACCATAAAGGCCATGGCATTTGTTGTTACTGGCATGCACCCAGTGTTTGATTTTTATTTCTCTTTTTAAAAATTATCCTATAAAAATTAAGATCTGGAAGTATTCTACCCCCTACTATTTTAATATCTCCTTTGGGATTTTCTATACGTGCTGGGCCTCAAGCTGAGGATGCTCTAGACCTTCCCCTCCTGGTCCCTACTAGAGACCTCTATCAGCAGGTTGCATAAACCACTGTCTGATGTATGGTCTTTCCCAGTCATTTGGCTTTATCAGTGCTTAATATGAACTAAGCGTTTCATCCATTACCCTGACCTTTTTTCCTTTATTTTAGTATGCTGTGGGCCATAGAATAGGGGCTTGGGAATGACCAGCATGGTCTCTTCATGGTCTGGTCCCAGGGGTACTAGCACCTTTTTCCGAGCAGGGACATGATTTGTTTGGACATAGTCTCCATTGAATATCAGGTCCTAGGGCTGAGGGCAGTAAAAATAGTAAGCCTCCCTCCTCATCCCCTGCCACAAGAAAATATCCCTTTATTTATCAAAGTCTTTACCCTGCCTTCCCCATCCCTGAGAGCTCACAGTCTAGTGTTTGTTTTAGAAGCCCCATCTGCACAGGTTTTCAGTGACTCAGAATGCTCTACTGCCTTTTCTTTAAGAAAGGATTGAAATACACTCCTGCTGTGCCCCCTTTCTCCCTCACAACTCCTGCCTGTGTTTGTGTGGATCCCTAATCCCCAGAACCATGCTGTTGAGATGGACACACTGTCTATAAACCCCTGGGTAACTTGTTAAGTCATGATGCAAACTTCAGGTTGTTCTGTATAAAATGCAAAATAAATGTTTTTATTAACAATGTTTGAGCCTGCTATTTAAATAAGACCTGGAAGAATCTATTATGAGGTAAGAAATCTGGCTGGCAAGATCCTAGACTTAATTGGGTTATAAGTTATTATGGAAGGTTTGGCATTTCTTTACCCTAACATGAAAAGAGGCTCCCTGTGAGATTTCCAGAGAAGATTTCTGTCTTTCCTCAAGGTTAGAAGTCTTTGACCTTGAGCCCGCATCCTTCCTAATTTTGTTATAAGTTAGAACACTAGACTATAGTTGAGACCTCACAACTGCTAATTTGATTAATTCAAGGAAACTGGTCCAGCCCACTGGGTGAAAGGAACCAACTATACCAAGGACAAATAGGGTTAGGGTGGCTAACTCATGATGTGAACCACCCAGGTGCTCTGGTACTTCATGGGATGCCTATTCTCTGCAGCCTTCCTTAAGGCCCATAAAATAAGAGGTGGTCCTGAGGGTGTCAGTTAATAATCTGAGACCAGATTATTCTATCTTGAGACTCCTGTTGCAACTGACCTTCTGAAAAAGTCTATTAATAGGCAAGGGAGTGGGTACGAGGTCCTGGCTTGTAGAATGTACTACTATAGTTAGCAGGGACACTATGTTCAAGAGGCCTTCTTGCACCTTCACTCCCCATGACTTTATTCTACTCTGCTATATCTATATTATCCTCCCAAGAAACAGTATAAAAAAGCCAAACTCACACTGTCATAATTAATTTATTTAAATGTTATAAAAACTCAGGCCAAGTGGCAGAAGTTGTACGCAAGAGTACAACTCTGTTCAGTGTTAATTTTTCTCTTTTTCACCTCACCCCATGGCACTGATGATAAGAAAGCCCCAGGCTCTCCACTAGCATGGAAATATTCTTAAAGTGAGGTCATGTTTCAAGCTGTGGCCAGATCTCTGGCATCTCCCAAGGCATTTCAGGCAAGCAAAAGTAATTGACCTTCAGTTCCTCTGTGTAAGAGGGAAAGTTTTGATTTATTCAATCCTTAAGAAAAGTTGTACCCTGGATAGGCGGTTCGGTTGGTTAAAGTATCACCCTGATATGCCAAAGGTTCCATGTTCGATCCCTGGTCAGGACACGTGCAAGAGTCAAACAATTAATGTGTAAATGGGTGGAACAACAAATCTTTGTTTCTCTCTCTCTCCTTTCCTCTCTCTAAGATCAGTAAATTTTTTAGAAATTTAAAAAAAGGCAAGACTGGCTGGGTAACTCAGTTGGTTAGTGTCATTGTCCCCATAGGCCAGGGTTTCAGGTTCGATCACTGCTGAGGACACAGAAGAATCAACCAATGAATGCATAATTAAGTGGAACAACAAACTGATATTTCTCCCTCTCTTTAAGAAAGTCAATAAATAAAAATGGGGGGGAGGGTGTTGTTTTTTTAAAGGAAAAAGAAGTTGCTATTTTCCCTGGTTAGAAACAGGTACCTTGACAGGGCTCAGAGAAAACCACACAGTCCTAATTATAATTCCCTGTGCGAAGGCTGTAGGCATCAGGCGTATAGGGCTCTCAAGATGAGCCTGACCATTTCCTAAGCATGTGTCCTTTCCATATCCCCTTGCCTTTCCCCCCCACCCAGCTTTTCCAACCAGCTTAGAGCCCCATTTCTGGAGAATTGAGAGGGAAAACAGTAATTTGAACACGGACTCTTCTCTCAGATTAGAGCAGGAGGAGCCAAATGAGAACTGGGTGGAGAGAGAGTAGAGGAGAAGCTAAGGAACAATTTTTTGCCTCAAGTCTGATGCACCTCATGGAACATTAGTTCACGGGGGATGGCTGTTTCTGGACCAAACTTGGTGGCTGCCCGGCGCTCGAAGGCAGCAACATTCTGTTTGACAACCTCATCAAAAAAGATGGTGGCCAGCTGGGAGTGCAGCAGAGAACGAAATTCAAAGGAAATCTGGAAACGGGTAAGAGACAGTCAGAAATTCAAGACCATGTTGGATTGTACCTGGCCAAATGCAAGGATACTGTTCAGTGCCTTTTCTTCCCCTTCCCATCTGGTTCTTTAGGGTCTCTCAAAAACCCTAATTTAAACTTAGGACTGAGCCCAAAGTTCAAGTTTGATAAAATGTCAGACCTGTCAAAAGTACCATTGACTTGGGAAGTGCTAAGGGCCAGGTGTACATAAAAAATAATTTGTCACAGTTACCTCAGCTCTGCCTCCACCCCCAGTTTTAGCTGTGTTATACAGTCTCCTGACTCACCGAAAAGTCCACAGTGCAAGTTCGGGGATAGGCAGGAATACCAGGGCTGAATCGCCATATGGTCTCTAAGTGATTGAAGAGCTTGCCATCAGTGCAAACAGCCTAGAATAGGGCAGTCAGGTAATTAAACATCATACAATGGAATAAAACCTAAAATAGGTATAGGAGGTTATAAGAATGAATTTAAAGTCATTTTTCTTCTAATATTTTGTTAGGGAAGTATTTGATACATGGAGATAAAATAATTACAAGGAGGCCAAAATAGCACCGAAATGTAAAAATGCTAGAGAACACAGAAACCACCTCATGATCAATCTGTCCCAGACAGGCCTCACCTTGACCATGTGAGGTTTGACCATGGAAACAGCAGATGTGTAACGTTCCACCACAGGTGGAAAGCCAACCTCCAACTGGGCCTTCAGGTGACCTTTGCGGCTGGATACCACCAAAGACTTCTTACACCAGGGCACAAACTCGCAGTACTCGTGGACGTTGGATACCACCTCGAACATCTCCTGCATTGAGTACCTAGGGGAAGGAATCAGAGAGGCCAAGGAACTGCCAGCTGGTTCAGGCTCCTCCTTGCCTTGGGTGCACTCCCCCCCAGTACCTCTGCTAACTAACCATGCACCCAGGAATTAAGAGATTACAAATAAAGCCTGAAGGAATGACTTACCAAAAGCAAGTGTGCAAATTTTCATGGTAATGTTACCTTATGTTTTAAGTTTACAGAATGCCTTTCTCTTTAATACCTATTTTGATCTTAAGAGGGGTCATCTAGGGAGAAAAGGTTGTGGATCATACAAAGGACTCAGATCCCAGCTTTACAACTTTCTAACAATTGTGACCCTGGGTGCCATTACCTGTGCCTCCATTTTCTCATCTGCAAATCAGAGGTAATAATAGTACCTGGTTCATAGGTTTGTTGAGTGGATCAAATAAGGAAAACTTTGTAAAACACCTAAGCAGCCTAATCGCTAGCAGTAGCAAGTGCTCAATAAGTATTAGCTACTTTATATTGTGCTCAGAATACATAAAAGATAGGCAGAGAAATAATACCCTGTTGTCTTAGGACACTGTCCAACTCTAAGCACTTTTCACTTAATGAACGTGCACGGCAACCAAGAAGAAAGGGGAAATTAAGGTTGGGAGGCCAGCTGGGAAGGACAAAGGATCAGTAATAGAGCCAGGAAAGATGGCCAGGGATGAATCTCCCCCCCGCGCCCCCCCCCCCCCCCACTATTGCTAACCCTTACACTCTAACCTGGACATGGTTATTTGGAGGGAAAGGTAATGTGGAGGGCTGCTGGACAGGAGAGGATGCTCACCCCATGATCCTACGCTCGGAGTAAGCCTTTCTCTTGTTGGTGAAGGGGGCAGCAAAGCCCATGAAGGAACGGCTGGGAGGTAAGCCAGCCTCAGCCGCCAAGACTTGGGCAGCCCGGGGCAAGAGGAGGCTGCCGGAAATCAGAAATCTAAGCCCGAAAGGAAAGGAGAGAAACAACGTCAGGTTACTTTCGTGTTCAGCCATTCCTAGGTGAAGGGGAAGAGAGGCGCATCCCAGAGGAAGGTCGTCCGGACAAGCTTCCCCCCCAGCACCTGCTACAACCCGCCAGGCAGTCACGAGTGCGAAAGGTCGAGGGCGGCCGAGGACAGTGCCGCGGGAGGAGACAGAAGAAAGCGGAGTGAGTGCACGCGACTGCCAGTTGCTTTTGACTGCGGGCTATGCTACTGCTGAAAGCTAGGAAGCATCCTAGGTTCCGGCGTTTCACCAAGCCGGTTGCAGTCAGGTCTAACGCGAGGGGCAAGAACTGGTTGGGCACCCACCCGGGCGACTTCCCCTCGCGCATAACTTGCAAAGGGGTTCCCCGAAAGTTGTGCACTGGACCCCAGGGAATGACCGCTGCCACCGCCGCCGCGCTAGCATCCCTCGGTTGCAATTCTCCACCGCGGAACTTCGGGGTCCTGAGCCGACCACCTTTCCTCCGGTGTAGCCTCCCGCACCTCCCTCTCACCTCATTGGTCGCCGCAGTCGTGGAGGGCCCGGGGGCGGGGCCGGGCGCGCGCCCGGGCGGAGCGGGAGGCCGCAGCAGCGCTGGGCCGCTGCGCGCGTCCCAACCGGGAGCCGCCGCGCGCCCGCCGAGGCCATGCGCGTCACCCTCCCTAGCCCTGGGCTCTGACACCCGCTGTGCTCTCCTCACTCTAGAGGACGAGCGACAGGAAGTGGCCGCTGGGCAGGTCCAGGGAGCGCGAGGGTGGCGCGGGACAGCGGCTCCTCTGGCCTTCCTCCTGCCCGGGCGGCTGGGTGAGCTAGAACTGAGCCGCGACCGCTGCTGCCGCAGCTCCCAGTACCCCCACGTCACGCGGTTGCCATGGCTCGGGACCGGGAGAGGGAGGAAGCAATGGGACAACGCGGCCTGTCGGGAGATGTAGTTTAACGCCTCTGGCGAGAAAGGGCACTGGAGTGTGTTTGAGAAGCTGCATATGGTCCGGTGGTGCAAAGTAGCCAGGCAAACTACTATTCTTGGCCAGTCTGGGTCATGGACCTGATACATAAGCACAAAGGTGTGTCAACAGCATATACCTGTGGATCTCTTAGAGCCTTCATCATATTCTGCCTTGTTTATAGTTCTATAATTTCTGTTCATCTTTGCAACCTCCATAAGTGCTTAGTACTGTGCTTTACGTCTTTGAGAAAGGAAGTGAATGTTCCAAGGTCTGGACTAACAGTTTACATAGTTTTCTCCTTTGATATTTATACAAAGAAGTCGATGCCCTGGCTGGTGTAGCCCAGTGGATTGAGCGCCAACCTATGAACCCAAGGGTTGCCGGTTGGATTCCCAGTCAGGGCATCTGTCTGGTTTGCAGAGTCGAACTTCTAGGGGAGAGAACCATCTTTGTCTGGAAAAAATATGCACTTAATGAAGGGTGAGACCTCAAGGGCAGTGAAATGTCGCTATACTGTTTTCCACCATGATGCAAGAAGGAAAAAAATGCTCTTGATAAAAGTGGGGGAAACTAAAGAAAAAAAGGAGAGGAATGAGCACTTAGAGATGGGATCTAAGTGGGTGCAAGGGCCATTGAAATTCTCCCATGGACATTTTAAAAATGGTGGTGTTGGGGAGAGGAAGAGGGGGAGGGACCTAGCAAAAAGGAAAAAGGATTCATGGTTATGGACAACAGTGTGGTGATTGTGAGGGGGCGGTATAAGGGGGATAAATGGTAATGGAAAAAAGAAAAAAAAAAAGAATGGTGGCACCTGCTATTACAACTAATGATGTTTATACCACTACATTGCAAGCTCCACCTTTGCTTTCTTTGTAAATCCTTAGTCAAGCTCTCTACATTCAGGAAAGATTTGAGTAATGTTATATAGGTGGGGTGGAGAGGATAAAATAAGTAAAGATTATGTTCTCTTTGTGTCTAATTGGTGTGGAAAAGAAACACCTTGCCCAGAAACAGGGGCCAGGAAACAGATAAAAATCCTCCAACTCCCCCAACTCCTTGAGATTGGCATTTATTTTGGTCTTTCCACAGGATATGGATTGATTTAAAGGTTGAGTCCATTTAATCTGGGTTTCAAGGAGCAGGAGTCCTCCCTTGGACCCTGGCTTACAGTTAACATTTTGTAAGGAAAGTATTTTAATCCTTATTTTATATTTATATATAGAACCCCAAGTTGGGGAATGATCTCATTTCTTTCTTTGCTAACTTGTCTTCTCTTTCTCTCAGCGTCCCCACCTCAACCATCAGGTAACCTGGAGGCCCTCTCCATGGGCATGTGACCTTGAGAGACATTTACTCTTTCCAACCCTACTTTCTTGTCTAGTTCTACTCCCTCTAAGGGTTCATGCATGTGAAACAGCTGCTTTGAGGAAGAGGATCTGTCCAGATAAAAGGCAGAAATTAACTGGGATACATGACTGAACTGTGACCTCATTAACATTCTGCCTTAACAGAGTTAACTGCTGCAGAATTCCCAAGGTATAAGGCTTGCCAAGCCAATTTGCTTCTTATACACTACTAATTAGATTAGCTAATTACTGCATTATAAACTTTTCCTAGTTCATTCCCTATACTTGAAACAACCAAACTTCCTGCCATTTCCCCATAATTCTGTATTGATAACTTCAAATACTGACTCAAAATACACCGCGTGGAAGCCCCTCTTGACTGAACCCATCCTTCAGCATGAATGTCATGTAAAGTAGAATGTATCCTATATTTGCTAGTTGTTTCATGTGTATATGTATGTTCTACTAAGTTATAAGCTCCACAAAAATAAATACCATTATTTCTTAGTTTCTACTGCCAAACCAGTTAGTATAGTGCTGTAGTCAATGGTGGGTTTTCCATCAACATTTGTCAGAAGAATGAAAACTGAATCTTAAAGACAGGTCTAGATATATCTAAATATGAATTTAGTAGTTGAATCCAGTACGACTGTACACATAAGATGGCTTTGCCACCACCTCTGGCCTCCTCCCCAACCCTATGTATCTCTTTGAGCCCTGGAAGTATCTGTGTCACCTATATCATATCCCTTTTTCCCTACTGGGAAATCCTCTTTCTGTGCACTGGATAATATTAAAAATAACTCTTCTAGCCCTTCCTCCTCCTTCCAGCTGCCCAAAGAACCTGGCTGGCAACCTCCCTTATTCACCTCCACTCCCCAGCCAGAACCATGCACGTGACTTCAGTTCAACTCCTGACTCCTAATTCCTCAGGTTACCAAGAGCTATTTCAGGCAATAGTGGCCACATAGTCCCCTCCTCCCCATCCTCTGGGCCATATCCTAGCTTAGCCCTTCCTGGAAGGTCCATCGTACCCAATAGCCAAGTCAGCATGTCCCAACACCCATATCCATCTTGTCTCCAGCTACCTTCAGTTTCTACATTTTCAGTATCATCATCATCATCATCATCATCATCATCATCAAATATTAAATGTCTGTTCCCATGTGCTGCTCTGCTAGATCTATAAAATAATGTCTCCTGTTGCCATCAGAGAGTTCAAAATCCTTTTTTCATAGAAAAACAAACAATGTAAAGTCCTATGTTGAAAGAAAGACTAGCTAACAAGGAATTTAAAACCATTTTGAACTGTTGGGCATTTCTAAATCAAAAATTGAAGGTGAAATGAACAAAGGTGTGCAATTTAAATGTGGCTGCTAACCCTGGCCAGGTTGCTCAATTGGTTAAGGCATCGTCCTGATACACCAAGGTTTGTGGGTTTAATCCTTAGTTAGGCCCATGCAAGAATCATCCAATGAATGCACAAATAAGTGAAATAAGAAACCAATGTCTCTTTCTCTCTCTCTTCTCCTCCTCCCAATAAATTAAAAAAATTTTTTTTTTTAAATAAATGTGATTGCTACAGGGTAAATAAGTGTTTAAGGAGACCTAACGAAAGGGAAAGAATCTGTTAACCTGGGAAGACTTCCTGGAAGAGGTAAGTTTTACATAACATTGTAAATTTTATTTTTAATATGGTAAAAACTTTAAAAATTATTAACAGAATATGGTAGTAAATTTCCCTCTTAGTTCTCATTCCTTGTCCCCCAGTTTCTCTCTCCAAGAAAAAACATTAGCACCAGTGTCTTGTGTATTTTTCTAGTAGGAATCAAGATATTGAAAACAATGAGGGGCCATAGATGGCTGCAGAACAAGGAAGGACTTTTGTATTTATACCTTGAGAGGAAGCCAACTGCTTCCCTTTTTCCTAAATGTGTTCCCTTCTTAGAACACAGTGATTGAGTTGCTGCGCTCTGAACAGGACCCTTAGCCACCTTTTATAAATTGTTCCAATTTTTCTTTTTTAAAGGATTTTATTTATTTATTTTTAGAGAGATGGGAAGGGAGGGGAGAAAGAGAGGAAAAGTAACGTCCACGTGCGAGAGATACATGGAGAGATACATTGACTGGTTGGCTTGTTCCCTCTCACAGGCCCCCAACCGGGGACCTGGCCCAAAACCCAGGCAAGTGTCCTACAACGGGAAACAAACCAGCAACATTTCAGTTCGCAGGCCAGTGATCAACTCATGGAACTACACACCAGCTAGGGCCCAGTTTTTCAATATCCACTTTTCCCTCTTTTTCCCTTTTTGGGCTGGGCTGCCTTGCATCCAGATCTTCCCTGATTGGCTGCTCTCTGGCCTCTCCAACGGAGATGGGGAAGCACCCACATCCTTTTCTGGGTAGTAACCGTTGAGCCTTTTAAAGCGAGCCGCCACCCTACCACCTAAACCTGTCAATGTAGTAATTAGGGAGTCGGAAAGTGCCCCTTCTGTTGGTCTTGAAGTCCTTCAGCTGCCAGCTGTTCTAGCTTCTTTGCGAGGGTTTTCTGCAGCAGGAGAGTACTTGGGATTTCTCCCTGAAGTTTGAACACTTCTGCTATTTCCCTTCTACCCAACTCATGTCACCACTACTAGATTTATACGCCTTCCCTTCCTCTGAAGCTATTGCCATATATAATCCCCAGATTTCCACGCCCGTGCTTCCCCAAGTCTGGGGGGGTTGGGGGGCGGGCGGTTTGCAGGGTGTGTAACCGCTGACGGGAGGAGCTAACTCCCGAGGAGGCGCTGAGGGTTGTTTGATAGGCTGGGTCCTCAGGTTGATAGGCACCGCAGGACCAAGGTCCGAGTTGCCACTAGAGTTGTGGGGGAACCCCGGGGCCGCCAGACTGGAGAGGAGGGTACAGCGCGGCTGGCCTGGGGAGCCGGGGAACCCAAGCGCAAGGTTGGGGCGAACGCAAGGCTGGGTGGAGGGCGCTACGGCCTCGGGCAGCGCGGCGGGCGTCCTGCAGCGGGCCCCAGGACGGCCGCCAGGGAGCGCTGCGGACTCCCGCTCGCTCGCCTGCCCGCCCGCGCCCCCCCCCCGTAGGCGGGGCCGCGTTCTCCCCGCAGCCTCCGCCGCAGCCGCCGCCTGGGCCGCCCCGTGTCCCCGGTGGACCCGCCGCCGCCGCCGCCGGGAGCTCAATGCGGACGGAGCCCGGGCCGGGCCATGGGGATCCTCAGCATCACGGACCAGGTCAGCCCTTCTGCCTTTTCCTGCTTCCTCCCTCCAGGGCCCGGCGCCACCACCACGCGAGCCCGGGGATGTGCGGCCTACGCAGGGCCCGAGCCCGGAGCTCCCGCGGCTCCCGCCCCACCCCACGCCGCGCTCCCCTCAACCGAGCCGGTGTCCTTGGGGGCCTGGCGGCCGGCGGAGACACCGCGAGAGTACCCTGCAGCCAGGACCCCAGAGTGGAGCCCCTTCGGCGACGCCCCCCCTTAAACCTGGAGTACCCCCACTCCCACCACCCCCCCCCCCGCCCCGGTTCCGCTCC